GATACTTAAAAAATCTATAATCTAACTAACCCTAATAAATACTTCTGCAGAAACACAGTAGAAGGTCCTTGTAAGTTAGATACTTCATCACCAAACACATGTAAATTTTTGTTTTGTCATTAAGTAATTCAATTTATGTACTTCCAGCGACATTTTTTCTCATAAACCAGACACGACTTCTTCATCAATCGTACATAGTTTTGATGATTTCCAAATAAATAATAAGATGGTTACGCATCGAAATATTAGATTGAGATAAACGAACGACAAATCTCTACGTGTCGTGATACATCGATCTCAAAGCAGACCACTATGACCCACTTGGATTTCAACTTGAATTTTCTTTGCTTTTCTTTTGAAAATTCAATTTCACACTCAGTAATAAAAACTTTCTACAGCCTCCATATTGACCTTAATCCATTAATTCTACTATACCAAATTCAAAACTTAGACTACCTATTTTGCAGACTAAAACTTTCCCCACTTTAAATTGTTTCTTGATTGACTAACTATATTTTCCCAAGGTAAAGTTGGTGTTTATGTGTGTTTGAAGGCGCCTGAAAAAAATAGAAACCACACGACCCGTCTTGTAGCTAACATGTGTCTTTGCCTCTTTGCTTTTTCATGCCATTAAATATTAAACCTTCAGCGGTTTTTGGTCCCCAACAATAAAAATATATTTATTTATTTTATTACTATATACTATAGTAGTTCATTAATATTACATTGAATAAACCTAATGTTTTTTAATATGAAAAACTAAAAAAATAAAATTGCATTCATAGTCTTGGACTCTTGGTCTTGTTTTAAAAAGAAGAAAAAAATGCATCCTAGTTGCATTAACAGTGGCAAAAACGTAAAATCACCACTAGCTAAGTTTTTCTATAAATTGAACCACTCGCCTCCTCTGTTTTTTCCAATTCTAAACCAAACAACATATTCTCACAATCATCTCTTCTTTTATTCTCTTTAAGAAAGGAAGAGAGATCAAAGCTTCCAAGTAATCATTTTCTTTCTCTCTCACATATACATTCACTAGTTTTAGCTTCACAAAATGTGATCTAACTTCATTTACCTATGTGCAGGTTTACACAAAACGAAAAAAGAACCATGGCTCTTGTCACCTTCTTGTTTATAGCTACCCTTGGAGCAATGACATCACATGTCAACGGCTACGCCGGAGGAGGTTGGGTCAACGCACACGCCACATTCTACGGTGGTGGTGATGCTTCCGGCACAATGGGTATATTTCCTTAAACCTTTTCTCTCACAAGACTATAAAGCTTTCAAGATTTTGCTTTTACCACAATTCTTAAGATATTCTATGAAATTTTGGATTGCAGGAGGTGCTTGTGGTTACGGAAACCTTTATAGCCAAGGCTATGGAACCAACACCGCAGCTCTAAGCACGGCTCTGTTCAACAATGGTTTAAGTTGTGGTGCTTGCTTCGAGATAAGATGCCAAAACGATGGAAAATGGTGTCTCCCTGGCTCAATTGTCGTCACAGCCACAAACTTTTGCCCGCCTAACAACGCGTTACCGAACAACGCAGGAGGTTGGTGTAACCCTCCTCAGCAACATTTTGATCTCTCTCAGCCCGTATTTCAACGTATCGCTCAATACAGAGCCGGCATTGTTCCCGTCGCTTACCGAAGGTAAAACCTAAAAAACAGAGCTGCTCTGTTTTTCTCCCAAAACAGAGTATAGTTAATTATTGGAATCTTACTCGGTTTTTTTTTTTTTTTTTGTTGTGGTGTGTTTAACAGAGTGCCATGCGTGAGAAGAGGAGGAATAAGGTTTACGATAAACGGACACTCTTACTTCAACTTAGTTCTTATTACTAACGTCGGAGGAGCCGGAGATGTTCACTCAGTGATGGTTAAGGGTTCAAGAACAGGATGGCAAGCTATGTCAAGAAACTGGGGACAGAACTGGCAGAGTAACTCTTACCTAAACGGACAATCTCTCTCATTCAAAGTCACCACAAGCGATGGTCGAACCATTGTCTCTAACAACGTCGCTAACGCAGGCTGGTCTTTTGGCCAGACCTTCACCGGAGCACAGTAAGAGTGATTCGGTGAAATCTCATCTCATTGAACGTGTGGTCTATGTAGTAGAAGCAGTAAGCAAAAAGCTTAGAGAGGGGGCATGATAGTAATTTGGTCCTTTCTTTCAATTGAAGTTTACCTAAAAGAAGTGGTGCTTCGAGTGCTTGATTTTGCACGAGGCCTTGATGGTGTCATCTTTTAGGAACCTTTTCTTATCTTTCTTCATTTTTATTGGTAAGGTTTTATGTTATACTGATGCAGAGGTGGTCTTAAGTTTAAGTACCACCCGCTAGTAGTAGTAGTAGTAGTCTCTCATGTACTCATTTGTATCCCTTCTCGAAGCGAGAGGGAGAGTTTTAGATTGTATTAAGCTCGTTAAAGTCATCATGTATGTTGTAAATTTTTCAATTTCTACAAGTAATGAATGTTGGGGATTTGTTATATATACTTTGTGTAATAAATTATCATCAAAAAAGAAATGAAAAAAATTTATCATCGTATAGAGCAGTGTTCTAAAATACGGTCTGTACGGCCGTATATATGGCGTATATACGTTGTACGGTGGGAAGCTGTACTGTATTATAACTATACAGTTGTTTAATACGATGAAAGCTATATGGTGCGCATATACGGCGATTATATGGCGTATATACGGTAAAATCCGCATATACGGCATTTTTTTTTTAAATACTCAAAACAAAAACTATGTCATTTTATTAATGTTTGGAAAAATGATTTAACAAAATTATTAGTTTGGCTCTCAAAAAATTAATCATAATAATAATTATAAAGTAACTTAATTATCATTCTTTTCCACTATTTTTATGCTTATTAGCTATTTAAAATTTTAAAAATATTTTGTAAAGTTGAAAATTTGAATTTTTTGTATTCATGTATACTATCATCATGTTACTATATTTATGTTTTATTATTATTCTATATATTTATATTTATTTAATAAAAAGTATCTACCGTATAGTCTCCGCATAAACGGCCGTATATACATCTATACGCTATACGGTGCTCCACCGTACGCCTAGCGTATAGCGTATTTTAGAACACTGGTATAGAGTCAGAAACAAGATCGGCATGTATTTGTTTACTTTTGTTTCACTTCCGGCTTATATTCCTAATTCACATAAATAGCATTGAAAAAGCATATATTTCTTTTTGTTAAGAAATTAGAAATTGTGATGTGATTAACTTAGAATTCTAAAAAGTTAACAAAAGAAATACTTGTAGAACGAGAAATTATCTTCCAAAAGTAGTAGTTTTACTTGTATTTGAATTTGCTTGCATGTGAAGAGATTTGGTTATTTGATGATCTTAACTATATGGTATTATATGGTGAATTATATTAAGAAATGTTTTCGTGAAAAATTATTTGAAACACATAGTCACATGTATGATGTATATGAAAGCCTAGTTGTAACCGCCCGCCCACTCTTTTCCAAACGTAATAGATTCGTTTAGAAGTTATAACTAAAAAGACATAAATGCATCTTTTTTTATAGACACGACAATATTAGCAATTTATTCGTCACCCATCTGCATGTAAATATATAATGGTCGCGTGTATTGACAAGTTATTATTGTCAAAATATATTTTGCATATGAACAAATGTATTACATAGCATTCACATCTTTCTCTCTTTGATTAATTTGTTAATATATAAGAGACTCAGACTACAAACAAGAGAATATCAATGAAAAATGTGACTAAACTAAAAAAAAAACATAATGTAGTTTCTGGACAGGTTATTTTGGCCAGCAAATCTGCATAACGTAGTTTGTAAACAAAATAAATTCAGCATTTTGCGGGAAAAAATCCAACTGACTTGAAAGAATAAAAATCAGCCATAAGAAAAAATAATAATAATTTAACTATACTGCAAATAGCATGTAGTGACAAAAAGAAAACAAAAAAGAAGAATGACGTGCACGTAGTAGTAACAGTACTCACGAGTGATACAGAATAACCGAAGCCATGTGCTTTTTCTGACAATATTTTGTTCTAACTACCCACATGAGTCCTATGGGTCCCGCATCTCGAATCGCTAACCAACATATTTAACATCGTCTCTTTTTTCAATGGGCCTTATTAAGCCCGTTAAAATCTAGCCCATTCTCTCATTTTAAGCATTCAGTGAGCACTCTTCCTTTATGAGAGACTCAACTCCAAACTATTATTGGGAAACTGCATGAACACTTTCGAAATGACTATTATTCAGTTTTCTCTGTTTACTACACTACTATCATTTGATTCGACATTTTTCTACTCAACTCATTTTATGTTATTTTATAGTACATCTTGACATAGTATGAATGTATGATGACTCCGAATTATGACATACCATAATATTAGTTAATAATTATTGATGGAATTTTATTGTTTGTGTTTGGATTCATGGTTTAGAGTCCCAAGTTTAGTTTTGAAATTATATATGACATGTACTATGTTACACACAATTCAGAGTTGTAGGTAGATATATATGGTTTGTTTTTCTGTTTGAGTTCATGTTTTAGAGTATAGATTTTAGCTTTGAAATTATCATCATTATGTATAATAATAGCATTACTATTTCTCAATTATGTTTTTAGACTCTAAACACGAATAGCAATGCATATAATCATTTAGATTCATGTTTTTACTATAAAAACTCCGCAAAATTTTTAAAAATTAAGTAAATTTTCTCTTTTATATATAATAATAGGCCAAAAAAATTTTTTTTGCCCTAAAACTCTCAAATATATTGAGTTGGGGCTGAAAATAGAGAGTTACAGAGTAGTGGAATGACATTGGAGAAAGAGTACTTGAACTTGTGACATGTTATGACATATTTTGATAGCATGTCATCATCAGCGATGTTGTTTTGATGTTTTGACAAGTTTTGGTAACATGTCATCACGAAAATAGAGAAAAACAAAAGCTTTTATGGAGATGTCGTGAGTTACAAACAACTTAAAATAGTCTCATATATTGTAGTATGTGTCCCTGTAACTTATCAATCCTAGCTTCTTCCGCATTTTTGACTGATCGATACAAAGACAAGGCGCGTTTTCGGATCAATGCCTCTGTGTTTTTTCCGGAGCTACTTCTCAGTTTGGCTGTTGCATATTAAATGTGTTCAGAAACAGTCAACATAACAAGACCTGTAATAACAGAGTTTTGAAGCAAATGAATGATGATCAAATCGTTGTTTACCCAAAAATATAGAGGATCATCGAAGACCGCAACATAAGGTAATGTTTCAGAAGAAGCGCAGTTGTTTTTTCCTCCGAACTGAGGCTTATAAGAAGCTTCCAAGATCTGGCTAACGTAGTAATCCGCGGGACTTCCTAATAGATTCCACTCAGCTAGTTGCTGAAGCTTTTGATCATTTAGGAAACTGAGATTGCTAATTTGTTGGTTTGGATCAGCTGCTGTCCCGGGAATACTGCCGGTTTGTAATTTTGGAGTTGAGAGATCTGAGCTTTTACTAAAGAAGAGTCCTGAGTAATTTCCAAGAGATGAACTTGCAGAACACTTTATGTCCCTGTACATCTGATGAAGCTGCATATTAGGGTCTTCTTCTTTTGGAGGAACATTCATGTTTTCATCGGTACGAACCCATGAGAAATTCTCAAGCTGTTGCTCCATCTCCATTCCGAAATCTATATCTATTTCAGTCTGCAACTGCATAAACACAATGTTCTGGTTTAGTTTTATAAACATCCCCAAACATCATTAATATCCAAACTGATGAATCTTTACCTGGTTTTTGCATTTGGAGGACATAAGTTGTCGATGCTGATGTCTCGGCATGCTCGCCTATAAGGAGTAATAAGATGCATAAGTTTTGTAAAATGAGACCTTAACTCATTATTTGGGAGATATATTATACCTTACGACCATAGATTTGAGCCAGAGATTGTCTTAATGAATGTTCTAGTTGCTGCAAATCATCTACACTGTCGATATTTTCTACATCGGTCCAGTAGCTATCTCGTAAAACCATGTTGTAACTCACAAATTAGAATAGCAAAACCAAAAGGAACATCTAAATGAAAGTATATAGAAGATCTTCTCACCTTAGTCGTGTGTGTATATCTGATAATTGTGTTTGCAGAAACCTGATTTTTTCGCTAAGCACCTGAAAGTTCCCGTGTCGCGAAACAAATTTAGGAGATACTTCAGCCTTATCATTAACATCATACTAGTAGTAGAGCATACCTCAACTGTTGGTGTACTGTGAAAGATAACAAAAACGAGTCACATTAGTAGTAATACACAACAAAACTAAACAAGAACAAACAGAGAAAGAGTTCACAAAGAATCTCATATTCTTGAGATATAAAATATACACACCTTCTGTCTAGAAACTTTGATATATCTATATCGTGGTTAACTTTCATGAATATTTTCCTCAAGGCCTGAGATATTGTGAAAAAAACTAGTGTTAATGATAGTTTAGGAGATGGAAGCTGGAGAAGAGAGACTAAACAAAGCCAAGAACCACTACTTACTTCAAGGTTTTCCAATTTCCTGTTCAAACGTAGACAAAATCAAAGAGGCGTGTTCAGTGTAATGTTAACGCAGAAACATTCTAGATTCTAGAAATGTGTAAAGTGAAGAGAAGAGAAACCTCTTTGCCCTTTCTTGAGGACTGAGTTGAGCAAACTTAGCAATGACTTCTCCAATGCTAAACAAAACACAAAAAAAACAGAACATCAAACTAAACAGAACGATGTGAAAGATACTTTGGTATTAAAAAAAAGTGTGTTCAGACCTGTGTTTGCCTATGCAAACTGAAGCCTTCCCCATGGGAGAAAACATGAGAAGCACAACATCGATGTCGCATAAGATCGATAACTCCTTAGCCTTTTTCATGATCCCATGTCTCCTTTTCGCATACGTACATTGACGTCCATTCATGTTTTGTAGTTTCTTTATCTTTAGCTTCACTCTACCCATCCTGCATAACTTATGACTCAGATGCGGAACCTAAAAAAGAAAAAAAAAAACTTTCCTTTTGAAGAAGAAAGAAAAAAAAAAACAGAGCTTTTGGAGACGAAGAAAGATCGTGAAGGAGAGAGAATAAATAGGTATTGACTGGGAGACCAATAAAATCGGAAATTAGGGTTTGAAGCTAGAGACTAGGGAATTTGTGATCGTTCCCATTAATTTTCCTCTGTTATTACTTCACAGAACAGAAACAACGACTTACCCGCTTTTCTTTTTATTGGACCACTCATTTTGGCTAACCACCAAAGTAAATCAGTTACTAGTAGCTACTAACCGACGTGTCACGTGTCAATCTCATAGGGTTTCAAATCTTAGGAATGTGGCACTTAGATCTGACGAGGGTGGTGCCGTAACGGCGAAGTAAGCACCTTGCGGTTGAGAATCGCACGGTCTACACGTGTTGATTAGTTTAGACAAACCCTTGTTTCTTTTGTTACATTTTTCACATGTGTTTTTTCTTTCTTGAACCATCTATGTTTTGTTTGTACATGCTTATTCATATGTTTTGATGATTTCAGATTTTGGCAAAAGATTTTTTTAAAAAAGAAAAGAAATTGGTTCGTACTTTTAAAAAGTGTTATTAGAAACTAGATTTATATTGTTGATGAGGGATTAAGCCTGTATTAGTCAACCAAGACACTGAATCCGACTTAACTTTGGTTGATCTCTCACTGTAGAGACATGTTTAATGATTCCGGTTTGAATACCAACCGTTACAAAATTTGAAACAGTGAAAGAACAATAAGAGAGAAGAAGGAAACTGTGTTACAAACATATATACAGTACAATCATGTCATTATATAGAACCTTCGACGTGAGTGTCGTCCTCCAAGAGTGGGCGTATCCCGCATTTACCTATCTCCCATATGCTACTGTGGGTTCCGAACTTTAAGAAAATCTCTCTGGATTCCACATTTTTAACTTCCATTTCGAATATGTACAGATGCTCCGTTAAATATGGACTTCGATATTTGGTTTCAAATCCATACTCGCGACCACTCTGTTTGTCTACGATGGTAAGATATACTGACCCCCATTCCGCGTAATCAGCTTCATCACCCTTGTAAACCAGCAAGATGCAAGCCTTAAATCTAAAAGATGTAGGAAGACGCCTCTGATTAAACTTCACTGCCACAGAACCTCCAGTAGTAGCTCGGTAAGCGAAGAACGCAGGAATTTCTCTACCTGGCAAGATCGCGTAACTACTTGTCGATGTCTGGATGATGATGTCTCTCCCTTTTTCATTCAGTTTCCAGCAGTCAATAAATTTGAGACAAACTTTGGGATTAGGAAAGGAGCAAGCAAGTGTCTCCAAGGACTCACATGATTCTGCATTTAAAATTGATAAGGAATTTGGAAGCTGCGGGAGTGATACCAACTTCGTGCATTTGTTGAGTACAAGTTGACGTAAACGAGACATTCCATTGACCCATCCAGGAACTTCTTCTATTTCTGTATCGTTTAACTCCAGTTCTGTGATGATGTCAAGAGCATGTGGGAATTCTTCAAGTTCTTCGCAATATGTTATACGCAAGTCATGAAGTCGAGACCATGACTTTATCGACAAAGGAAATGCTTTTATCAAAGTTCCACAGAGCATAAGGCTTTCAATGTTTGTAGAAATCTCAGGAAAACTTTTCAATTGCGAGCAACCAGTGACATCAAGTTCTTCTAGAGAATCCAAGGTTATGTTGATGGGAAGAACCTTTACCTTTGAGCATCCTTGCAAACACAACGTCTTCAACATACGGAGGTTTCCAATAGATGAAGGAAGATCCACTAGGTTTCCAATAGATAATTCCTGGAGATTAATTATATTTCCAACAGAGGAGGGAAGCTCCACCAGGCTTGAGCAATATGTTAGATTTAAGCTTTGGATATTAGTAGCATTTCCAATATATATAGTAAGGAAGCTCTATCAAACTTGAGCATCCCATGAGATTCAGTTGTACGAGATTAGTGGCCTTTGAGAGATTAGGAAGCTCCTTCAAATTTTCTGAATAGCGTAAATCCATCACCTTGAGATTGATAAGCCGCTGCTGTAATGGCAAACAAAAAAAAAGAGCATACGAGAACGAGTTTCGTAGTGAAAGAATTTAAAGGCTAAGATCACTCTTTTATCTTTGTTTTTGAAACTAACAATTTTGTACAAAAATAATCTCATAGGTATAAAAATAAAAATAAAATATAACTCATAAAAGAATGGTTAATGCTTACTTGATTTTCTTCCCACAGTTTCTCGAGCTTGCTGCCTTTCAATAATATCTTGACAAGGAACTCCGGATTAAACTTAGAAGGCAAACATGACATTGGATAATCATCCCATTCTAGAATTCTAAGATTTGGAGGTAGATTGTTTAGAACTTGTGGTAAGTGCCATCTTCCTTTAAAGATTCTCAAAAATTGAAGATTAGACATTTTTTCAAAAGCTCTCTCACTTATATTTAGTTTGTCTATGTTCTCATAAACTTCCAAACTTATGCCTACAACACTTTCACTACCCTGAAAAAGTTCACACAAACATAAAAGTAGAGATGGTCAGTAATCACATGTAGTCTAGGGAGTAAAGGAATTGAAGGATAAATGACAAAACTTACTGTATGATCAGTGAGTACTTCACAAACATCCCTAGGATCAACTAAAAATTGACGTTTCCCAGGCTCATTGGATTGCTTACGCACAATTTCTCTACCCAATTGAACTAGTAGATTATGCATCGGTTGATATCTCTCCTCGGATATGAGAGATCTTTGAACTAAAACCCGAAACCCTTGCTGCACGTTCGAGAAATTATTTTTAAAAGTATCCTCAAAGGTATGATCAATGCTTTCATCGTTGAAAAAGCAGGCTATATAGAGAAATAAATCTTTGTCTTCGTCGTCCAAGGCATCATAACTATACTTTAAAATGCTCCATATATCTCCGTTAAGGCGAACCCTTAACCTTGGTAGTTCCGCTTTCCACTCTTCCTTGGACATTCCTTTTAAACGAGAACCCATAACCCTAAGTCCCAAAGGGAGCCTACCAGCAAGTCTTGTCACTTTCCAAGCAAGATCCTCGAAACCATCAACCTTTTGGAAATTTCAGTGACAATTTAATTTCTTTCACCATGGCAGCTTCATTTTCCCTACCAAAAAAACAGAGAGATTAATACATTTAGTTTGATATATTGAAAGATTAAGAGCAAAGTAGACGAACCAGTCTCTTGAATCGTAACCAGCAATTGTAGCCACTTCCTCAAAAGCTTGTCTCCATCTCCAAATCTCCTCCTTTGTTCTACCCTTACAAGTTTTCTGAAAGACAGCTCCAAATTCTCCGGTCAGCTTCTTAACATGGGATGGATCAACTTCATAGAAAACTACAAACACTGTTAGACCAAACTTTTTCTTGCATTCCATAATCTCCACCAATTCGTCAAGACACCACTTTGAAGAAGCATAGTTCCTCGAGAGTAAGACAATCGCGATCTTAGATTCTCTAATGGCCTTAATGAGTTCAGGACCAATGGATTCTCCTCGCTTGATCTCATTATCAATGAACGGAATGATTCCTTTTCTTTGAAACTCCTGTTGAATGTAACTTAAAATTTTTCTGCGAACGTCTTCCCCACGGAAGCTCGCAAAGACATGGTGAGTCCCGGTGCAAGACAAAGAAGATGAAGGAGAAGTTGAAGAAGACAAAGAAGACGGAGGAGATGTTAAAGAAGACAACGTGGATGGAGGAGATGTAGAAGAAGAACCCCCATCTTTGTTTTCTTGATAGATCCGGAACTTTATAAGAAAGATGAAGAAGCTTATTGCAGCAACAAGAATGGTAAGGAAAAAAGAAGAATCCATTAGCATAAAGATTGAGGGATGATCAAGATCAACAAAGACTTTTACTCTGAAAAGTTATACGAAAGATTGAGAGAGGATCAAGATCAAGATCATTGACTCCGCAAAAGTCAATAGCAAGCTTCACGAATGTTTCTATGTGACATTGTCAATTACTCCATTTTGAAATAGTCTGACTAAATAATTGAATAATATCCAAAAAAAAACTAAAATAAAAAAACAAGTGTTTGTCATAGAATCTTGTTTCTCAGATTCTCTTCTTCGCTGTTATTTGAAAACTCTGTTTCATGCCGAGTCTATTCGGGAATCTTCGATGAGGATTTACGTCGGTTCTGTATTCTGTTGGTTGCAGAGCTGAAGGAACAGGGCCGAGGATGATGATAAACATTTTGGGCTTTTAATGTCTTTGTATGCCTTTAGGCCCAAAATAGCCCCATTTATACACTACGATTTGTTTATTCTATTTTTTTCATATGATTGGGTTTATGCCTTAATGGGCTTTGCTAGTGCGGACGTCATTATACTTATATGGATATCAGTAATTCACCGACCGTGAGCTAATAATAGTTTTTGAAAAAAAAGAAGAGAATTCCTTGAATAAATGAATGTCTCAAAGATTTGGTTTTTTTCGGTTTTACGATTAATTGGTTTTACAAAAACTAAAGTTATATAGATATCGTATGTAATTTACGGTTTGGTTATTTTGGTTTTACGGTTTATCAGTTTTATAAATAATGAAACCATATAAAAAACTATCTGCAATTCGGTTCGGTTCGATTTCAGATACTTTTTTTTATTTTAGTAAGATCTTATATCATCTGTTCCAAGAGCGATGGAATTCCATAAAAAAAGGGAGCCCGAGTCCGGTCAAGCTGATTAAGGGAGGCCCAGGTGGTCAAAAGACGGTCGGTTGCCCGAGTGAACGTCGAAGGTATGTACCAATTTTTTTTGTTTTTTTTTTTTTAATTTTGGTAGACTACGTTTCAAAATCTTGATTATTAATTTGAAATATGTCATGAGTTATTTAGAGTCAGTAACATAAGGTGAAAACTTTAAAATAAGGTTACAATCTTTAGCTGCCTTTACGTGACAACTCATATAGTATATATTTATAGTTCTATTATTGAATATATTGAATGAGGCCCCAACATCTAATCTATAGAGTTGATTGAAGGTACGGTTTTACATTTCTTGTTGGTTGTGAATCGTGTGATGATGGTTTGAGGAGAAAATGTTATATAACTTCCCAAAATAGAGCAACGGGGCTATGATATTTGAGAGATTGTTACTATTTGGTTAGCTTTCATGTCATGAGGATTTTGTTGACTCTAAGAACAGTGAGTCGTCTTCGTGTACATGTTGATGTCGTGTCATGTCCACATTTTAAAAAATTTCTTCTATTTCACTCTCTTGTTCATTTATGCGATTATCACTTGTTTTCCTGTTTTGATGTCCAAGCCCACCATGTTGTATAGTTTTTTTGGTCGGTTCGAAATCATCTTAAACGAAAACCATAGTTAAATCGAATCAAATAAAACGTACTAAAATCTATTTTAGCCAAAGCAAAACCAGTTAGTTGAAACTCAAACTTAAAATATAAAATCTTCTTAGAAAATCTAGTTAGAAAGTTGAAAAAAATGTAGGATGTGTCAATCATGTTCATTAGTTCATATGTCTTCACAAGAAACTTTTGTAACCTATGGAATTTCGGGAACTCTAAAACTAGTCTATGAAGTTTGTGGAAGTCCATAGATTTTTTTTTTTTTTTTTTGAGAGACTTTGTGCGTATATATTGAGACCCAAAGCTAGCCTATTAAACTAGCTATTGGCTATGTTGGCTATGTCACTATGTGCTCCGAAATGGTCGATGTATAATTGAGCAATGCGCGTATGTGTAGGTATAGTATAATGAGGAGCAGAGCATGCACGTGTTATTGAATTTGTGCAATATGGTACTCTAAAATTAGTTCGTGGGGTCGCATATTTGAAATTAAACCACAGTAGACTCGAAAAACATTTCCCTGTTGATATGAATTGGATCCTATGCATTCATTTCGGAATTCTCACTTTCCTCATTTTAAACTGAAAATTTTTAATTCTAATAATTCTATCTATCCCCTACAGTTATTGAAACTTCACCAACAAATTCCACACCTTATTTTAATGGCTTTCTATAAACGAAAACCTAAAACCCATAAAAACATTTTTTCAGTGAAAAGAACTTGTTAATTTGAATAAGCAGAGAAGGAAGTGTCGCCAGGTCGTGGATCATTGAAGGTATTCATCAAAATCATGAAGAAGAAAGTGTAGTCTGTCGTGGATCTACTAAGGGTCGGTAGAAATTGTCAGTTGTAGAATCGTCTATGTAACAGTTCTCATAATTGCAATTAATAATAAATCTAGACGACAAAAAAAAAAGAATAAGTAGATAACATATGTTTACAAAAAAAAAAAAAAGTAGATAACATATTTTAAAATAAAATCAAATGATAACAAAACAAAAGAGAATGTGCAATTGGGTTTTTCGGCTAATGGTTCGTGTCAATGAGTTGTTACTTGTTAGTAGTATCTTTGAAAAAGTAACGATCCATACTATAACATCTATTGTATGACACAAATTTAATGAAATTAAGAAAATATATATATATTCAAAGTTATTGACCAAAAAAGAAGAGCATAGGAAATGTTCTGAAATCTCTGCAGATGGACCGTACAAGTCTGCAACAAATACTCGGAATCTGAGATAATGTATTCTTGTGCCAATTGATATCTTTTTGGTCAAATAAATACGTATGCTTTATGCTTAAAGTCTCACCAAACCTAGGTATTTCTCTTGTATATATGGGCTGATATAGTGTAAATGCATTTTTAAAAATATAGTTGCATAACTAATTCATTAAAAAAAAAAAGACTTTACATTTTTTTAAAAAAAAATTGCATTGTAGTGTGATGAATATTCATATTGCGACGGAAATGCTAACGATAATAAGTCTAACCGATCCCTTATAAAATGATTTATAACAGCGACTTCTGCAACATATGGTTGAATAATTAATTTAAAAATCAGGAAATGGTACAATTGATATGGCAACAAGTAGTCAAGACTATATGAAAACCGGACTCATATTTGAAGATCATCACATTCACATTATGAAGAGACCGGCTATGTACGTAGGAAGAGAGGTTCATATAAACCATCAAAATTCGAGAGTGAGAGATATATGGGGATTGGTGAAAGGACATGTGAAGTGTGCGTGAGATGAATAATTGTTGTTAGAAAAGACGGAAGAGTCAAATCAAATGTATGCTTTGAGCCTTTTTGGCTGTTATAGTTGGGACTACTTCAGATGTTTGGTTTTTTTTTTTTTTTTTTTTTTTTCATCAACTACTTTAGATGTTTAGTTTCATCCTCATTATAGTATTTCCAATTTTTAGTAACAACCAACAACAGCAAAAACATTAATTGAAAGTAATATAATTCTGTAAATTGTAGACTTCTTTGTAAAGGAAAACAAAATGTCAACCAATTTATGATGGTTTAGTGGTTAAAAATGTTTATCGTTCTACTATTATTTTGATCATGACTGACCACTATGATCTATGAATGTATTAAATGACAAGAATACTTAACGCTTAATTAGATAAATTTCGGCTGAAATCGCCTGGTTATTTGACAAGAAAAAGATCATATTCATAGTTCAAAATTCAAAAAAGTAAACCACATTGGTTTACAGAAACTTTTTTTTTTATTTTGTTTGGCAAGCAATCGTACGTAGAATAATATGATGTTTTGTTTGGGGCAACAAAGAACAAAAGCAGTTGAACTAAAAAAAAAAAGATGTTTAACAACTTTTCATCTCTCTCCACTTTTCCAAACACATCTCCACTGCTCACAACGTAGGAAACGTGTTCCCTGTCCTTAACTCTTTCTCTGTCCTAATTTTTTTTTCCTTTCATCTCTAGACGTTTTCACATTTATGGTTTTTTCCGAAAAAAATAGTGACAATTATTGTGAAGATGTAAATTGGATTTTAGTGTAGATTATAGCTATTTGGTTATAACTTAAACCAGAGATAATAATACTATTTATATACAATATAATAAACCTAAATTAAATATCTAGAATGTAAAACTCATTGTTGAAAGTAATTTAGAATGCATAAATACAAATACATATATTTCAGCAGCTTTCAAATCAGTCCGTGACAGTCCATGAACCTTTTAACAGTTGTATAACAGCATTTTGTCAGAAAATAAGGTCACAACATATACATACACGCACATAGCTTAGAGCCATACGTAATAATATCACACAAATATCAATTATGATGTACAAAGTCATATTTAATATTTGCTCTTCTCCTCCAATGAGGATGGAGATGGTGCATGCTGACGTGTCGTCTCTCTCCATAACACCTTGCTTCCCGTCTTCTTTGTCTTCGTCCTCACATCATCACTAACCAACAACAACATTGTATCATGTCGGAAGATCAACACCGTTGGATGGATCAGATTGCTTCATCGGACTACTTCTCTTTAAACATCGACAACGATCAACATCTCCGTAGCTACTACACAAGTCATAGAGAAGAAGAGAGGAACCCTAATCAAAGTGATTACAGTAACTGCAACAAGAAAGATACAACAGTCTATGGAAGCTGTGGACACTCGTCAAAAGCTTCGGTGTCGAGAGGACATTGGAGACCAGCTGAAGATACCAAGCTCAAAGAACTAGTCGCTGTCTACGGCCCACAAAACTGGAACCTCATAGCTGAAAAGCTCCAAGGAAGATCCGGTACGTAAATTCTATCGCTTAGTTAAGCTTTTTCAAGATTCAGGTTCTTGAAATTTTGGGTGTTAATATTGAACAGGGAAAAGCTGTAGACTTCGATGGTTTAACCAACTAGACCCGAGGATAAATAGAAGAGCCTTTACAGAGGAAGAAGAAGAGAGGCTAATGCAAGCTCATAGGCTTTATGGTAACAAATGGGCGATGATAGCGAGGCTTTTCCCTGGGAGGACTGATAATTCTGTGAAGAACCATTGGCATGTTATAATGGCTCGCAAGTTTAGAGAGCAATCTTCTGCTTACCGTAGGAGGAAGACGATGCTTCCTCTTAAGCCACTCATTAACCCTAATCCTCACCTTTTCAATGCTTTTGACCCTACTAGGTTAGCTTTGACCCACCTTGTTAGTAATGACCAGAAGGAGCTTATGTTGCCAATTCCTTGCTTCCCAGGTTTGAGTTTGTTTGTTTGTTCTTTTTCCTTTCGGTTTAAAATTCCATATCATCATCTTTTAAATTTCTTCCATTTTTGTCTCGTTTAGGTTATGATCATGGAAATGAGATTCCGTTAATGGTGGATATGTTCCAAAACGAAATGATGGTCGGCGAATACATTGCATGGACACAAGAGTCAACTACATTCGATTTCTTAAAACAAACCGGGAAGAGTGAGATGTTTGAAAGAATGAATGAGGAGAAGAAACCACCATTTTTCGATTTTCTTGGGTTGGGGACGGTGTGATCATCATCATGAACAAGACTGGCTTGAGTTAGTTAACAAAAGTTATGAGATGATTTGAGTCCTTGTCGATGTAGTTATGTTGCGTTAATAATTGTAGATTAAATGTTGTTGTCCTTAGTCACATGCAACATTCCTTACCCCTTGTTAATTAGTACGTACATATATTACCACTCGTTGGTTAGAATCAATGCTTTCATTTATGTACATGCCAAATTGTCTCACCTTTACCAATTTTGATTCGAAGTATAAACATGTGTACCACTTTATAGTTCTAACTAACTCTTATCTTATATGAAAATGTCAGATTCCGTCATTAATATCCAAAATCGTGTAGAGTGAGAGTAACAACATGCTTCGTTTATGAAGAGGAAGGTGACATATGTTAAAGCAGGGACGATGATGTGGAAATAAGAAACGACAAAAAACGATAGAGAAGTCAAATTAAAAGGAATAATGTACTATTGTATTTATTTGGAGTATGCAGAAATTTAATAATAACATGCGATATTGATGAGGTTGCAAGATTCAGGCACAGATTCTGCAAAAGAAAGTCCAAACATCCACTCTTAAATATTCTCACACCCATTGCATTTTTTTTTTCTCTCCAAAGCAAAAAGCTTTTTTTCATTTCATTGCTCCTTACTTATGCGTCTCATCGACCTCATGTCACCCACATGGCCCCTTCTCCTAGTTATTATTTTTTGTAATAATCATTTGATTTATATCATGATACTATTTGTATACGTCATTGTAGTTTTAGTCCAGCTTAACTCATTTATATGATTAAATTGAAATAATTGATTGATTTATGAAATTAAGATTCGATTTTGTATTAGTTCCGTTTTTTCACTTAACACTTCCACTTGCTAATTAGTTAATTTAGGTTCTATGAGATCCACAAGAAACGGATAAAACTGTAAGCATTCCTAGCTAGTGCAATGTGCATCAGACAGGTTGGTGTTCGTTCCAGGACTTGTTGTAATTCATATTAGGCCAATTTCGACCACTTGAATCTATTGCTATTCCAGGCTTAGGCCCATTCTCAGGCCCAATTTCAGTTCTGTTTGGAAGTGTTTCAGTTTTTTTTTTTTTTTTTTTTTTTAAATACTTTGAATCATTGATAACCGAAGTGTTTCAATTTCTCGATCGAGAGTAGATAACATATTAGATGTCGATCGAATACTACCATTATAAGTCGCATGTGAATATCTCTATTTTGTTTCTGATTTAATAGATGTTCTTGAAACGAGAAATGAAAAGCAATAACGGATATATTGGTTGATTAAATCGAACCGTTGGAAACAGGATACGTGTTAAAGTAAATATCACACCAGGCCATAACCTCTAATAGCCAAAAGGACAACTAATAATAAAGGATAACATTCATGTTGACGTAGCTAATTCCTTATTAGTTAATGCAATAATTAAATATTCATAACTTTTCTTTTCTTTTTGATCAAAAAGAAAACAATTCTTCTGTTCGTTTCCTTTAAAAAGCTGAACTACTTTACGAGGAGAACATATACGTATCGGTCTCTACCAGTGGCGGACGTACGTTGGTGGTAGTGGTGTCATTTGACCCCAACAACTTTTGAATTTTAACATATTTGCTATTAAAAATTAAGAGTAAATTAGAAAATATTCTAAAATTCTTTATATTGACCCCATTAAAATTCTTAAATTCTTTATATTGACCCCATTAAAATATGTTTAAATTCCTCATTTTTTTTTTTGTATCATATATTGACCCCATTAGAAATTGATTCTAGATCCGCCACTCATCTCTACATAATTTGGTCCAGGTGAAAGCTGAGAGGCCTCCTACGAGGTCTACCTAACTTTATTCCTTCTTTTCACATTTAAGAAATATATTTCATAACTTTAGTCATATGAATATTTGTCATTGAGAGGATTACCTAAGGCTGCAACACAGATTAGGTTCTGTTTTCAAGCTTCATTTGTTAGGCCTTGGTCCTCCTAGTACTAGCTAGTTACTAGTTATTTTTTTATTTTCTGGTTGTAATGGTTCTATATTGCTTCTTTGTATATTTTTAGTGTTTTATTTAAGAAAATCCTTAATAATGTTTCCAGTTAATTAATCATTTGTAATTTTTATGATGACTAGAGTCACTAGACCTTTTGGTAAGGAATTTCCAAAACCCTTCTAAATTCGTTTGAGCTACCGATGTAGCGTATGGTTTAAATATTTGCTCTCTAAGTACATTTCTTTTCGTTTGAAAAAAAAAAGGTACATTTCTTTTCTTCTATCTTTCTCTCCACTCGAGCACCTCTCGAACTTTTGTGTTCCCCCTCTGTATCCTTTGTTAAAAATAAGAACTCACCAACCACTTAGAATAGATTTCCGGTTTGGGAAAAGAGTATGGCAAATCCTCCCCTGCTAATTCTTTAAATGTGACTGGTTTTTAAGCTTTTTGTACCTTTTTGTGCAGCTAAGTGAAAACACTTAAAAACCAGTCTTTATACGCCTTCAATTTTCACCTAAATGTCGAACCCGTGAAGAACTCAAAAACAAAATCAAACATTTATTTATTTTTTGGGAAAGCATATATGAGCTCAATTGTATAAAATGAATTTGGTGTACCCCTCGACCATATAACCAAAACAAAAGGAACTTCCATTAAATTATTAGACAATTGAAAGATTTAAATGTTGATAGTTTAACAAGTTCAATATGTGTTGTTTTAACGTTTTGTAATTAATCTGAATTTTAAGTCTCATTTGAAAATACATTATATATATACGTTTTATGTAAGAGTCGAAAGTATTATCAAAGATTGATTTCAAATTTAAAATGATTATGATCCAAATTTTGATATTACGTTGTTATAAAAAGGGTATATAGAGCATAAGAGCAAGAAGGTATCCATACGAATTAATAGTTATATATTGCAATATAATAATTAATAACCAAAATGAGTAGTATAAAAGATTAGTAAAGATGCAAAAAGAATAGAAAAGGACATTGAAAAAAAAAAAGAATAATTGCTTTTTAGAAAAAGAGACTTTTTAGCCTTTTTTCAGTGCCAGTGGTTGGATTCTTTGCTTTAATCCAAAAGTGAAAGTGAAAGATGCTCTGCTTTCTTTGGTTTCATATTCCAGTTTCTAATCTCTTATCTTCGATTAGTTTGACCCATTTACACTAAATACCAAAATCGTACAAGCTAATAATCTGAAACCTCTCATGTTCTTCTGACATGCATTTACCAGAGATGACAATTTGGAAGTTGAGAATATTTATCTCTTAGGTTCAGGGGCAAAAACGTAATTTTAAGTTCAAGATAGATCACGTAGATATTATTAATCTAAAGGTTTATATATTTTGCAACTTCATCGCACAATGGAGAGAAATATCTACACCTCCAAAAATATTTCTGTTTGTGTACAAACAGTAAATACTATATCTACTCTTACTTCGAAACAACAAAATATCTACACGGACTTTTCTTCTTCCACAAGGTAACAATTAGCTAAACTCAAATCTCTCAGTTCATGAATATATATATATCTATATCAGTGTCTGATTATTGTTGCATGCTCTCCCTGAAGTTCATAGCTCTAGACATCGCTGCAGGGTTTGCTTGTAGACTGTGAGAAGTTTCAGTGACCAAGCTGCTTCTGTTGCTGTTACCCTTTGTGTCAAATCCATTGAACAAACTGAATCCTTGCGTTTTTTTCTCGGGTTTTGTCGGTAACTTAGACCACACCGCGCTCTTAGTAGCTTCGCTATTCATTTTAAGAGGTTCTGAAACCAATCTTGCTCTTGTAGTAGTTATTGTTGTATTAGTATCATTGATTCTTCCTTCAGTTTGATCTCTTGACCGTTTTCCTAAACACGGTGATGTCTCTGAGGTAGGGTATATCGGAACCGTGCATCCCCAATAAAAGGGGACAGGGTAGAAACTAGCATTAGGACCCGTTGGACTCCATTGGTAAGGCCAAGGAGAAGAATTATTAGGTAACATTACTTGCGGAGGAAGAAACCCTTGGTAGGTTTTGTGTTCTTGGGAAACTGAATCAGCGCTTATTTTTGTTGTATCTCTTGATTGATGCTTACCAGCCTCTGTCACCGAAGATTCCGAAGAACCGAAGCTAAGGATCGTCCCGGAGTTATTATTATCACAATCCTCAGAAGTGACTTGCAAGTAATGGTTTGAAGAAGCCCAGCCTTTGTTCTTGCGACGACCTGAGCCAACGGGAACGTTCCTCATGGAACCACCAGCTGTCCAATACCTCTGACAGTTCCTGCAGAAGTAACGTGGCTGGTTCACGTTGTAGTTGTTGTAATAACAGAATTTGGTGTTTGCGCTTTCACATCTAGGACATGGAAGAAGCTTGTCTGGTTTCTTGAGAGCCGTTGATTTCTCTCCTGATGTAGTACTTGTTGTCGTGATCTCGCTCTGTTGATCACAATTGTTCTTGGAACTTCTTGGTGATGAAATCTCAGATACTGCTTTTGGCGGTTCGTTTAGATCTGATAATATGTATGGATCTTTGAATCTGTTACTTTCTTGATCACTTTTATTTGCCGGAACCTGAAAATTTTGAAGAATTTTGATTAGAATTAGCAAAAGACATGACTTACGGATATAAACATTCACTTTTTAGCCTTTTTAGTAACAATAACAAAGTAAAATTAGCTTGGTGAAAGCTGTTGAATCTGGCATGTTTTCCTAATTCAATTATAAAATAAACTTTTTGTTTGTTTGTTTATGCAATTATAAGTTTAAATCTTGTTTCCTTAATTATGCAATATTTTTCCAGTAAGAATTCATGGAAATAAAAAGTGAGATTATCAGAATACTAAAATGAAAGAAAATCAGAAAAATTTCAACCAGAAAGTCTCAAATTTTACGCTAACTCAAAAAGAATAATGAAACTAAATTTCAGATCGAGATCGACCCATTAGTAGAATCCATCAGCCAAGAAATGGGTTTGTCTCAGAATCATAAAATGGACCCGCCATGGAATCTCTCAATAAGTTCGTGATTGATTAATTAATTAACACATAACACAAAAAAAAAAAAAAATGATGAAGATTCTCATGACATACCCATATTGGTCCAATAGTTGGAGAACAAGAAGATGAAGAAGATGACGAATCCTCCTTGCTTTGATCAGAAGAAACATCGTGAACATGGGACAAAGACGATGGATCATAACGATTCACATCTAAAAGAGATGTGATTGTCCTCCCAAACAACTTTATCTCCCTATCTATAGATTTAGACATAACTATTTTATCTCCAATTATGAAACTTCTAGAAATATGAAGGTCTAATAAATGGTTTCCTCTGTTTTTTTTCTCTATGAAGATCGGAGGAAAAAAAAAGAGTATGAAGAGAAAACAAGAAGGGGCTTGAGGTTGGTATTAATGACGATAGATAGTGCATAGAAGAGAGAAAAGTACACGTCAGAATAGAGAGAGAGACATGTAGAAATATGAGAGCCACATGTTTGTGAAGAAAGTGGGCATTTTGAGATCTTTTTCACGCTCTTTTTGATTCCCCTTTCTAGTGGCGTTTTAAAGATTTTCTCACCTCTCTTTGTTTTGCCACGTCGGATTTTAAAAGGAATAATCGAAGAAAACACTTGGTTCTTATTCAAAATGGTGTAAACGTATTGAAAAAGATTAAACCTAAAACATAAGATAAAAAGTCAGATGTACATAACATGAAAGTCATACTAATAAACAAACCACATTTCGAAGAAAAAGGGGTTTTTAAACTATGACCCATATTCATCTTTCTAAACCCGGTTTTACAAATCCATTGACGTATGTATGTATAAGTCTTCATAAATTATTAACAAATTTGTATAAAGTAATTAATTCAGTAGTTTGGTAGTTCAATAATTTATCATAGACTTAAGGGATTAGTGTTTGAATTCTCTTACCAGTGTTTGCATTTTTTCACTGCGATTTTCTATCATGGTTTGTAGTCACAAACACACAAATATTCGATTTTTGTAGGTTTTTGAAATCAAGTATGGACTTCCATTCAAGATTGCTCGGTTATCAGTTTTTTTTTGTTTTTTAATGTTAGATCCTACTAGTAATACAAAACGGTACATATTTTTAACGGGTAAATAAAACGTTAATCGATACTAAAATTATTCAAACTGTACAAAATAACTGTAATACAAAGTAATACGAAAAAGCTGAGAATAACGTTTTTGGTAACACTTTTGACTTTTGTTACTAGTAATAAAACGGTAAATCCCGTACCGCAACAATATAAGGTTACCAATCAGAACTATACCATTATATGATGTTAATACAGTTGCATATCAACATCCGAAAATTCTCTCTTCTTGACAGAATTAGGTACAAATACATATCTGACATGATTATTACATGTAAATCCGACAAGGCATAAACTATCAATGCCAAGCTGTGTAACCACGTAGCACATGACCCACATCGTCTCCGAAACATCCTACATCTAAGCCCACGTCAGCTGTAATACACCACGTGTGATCACAACTCTTAAAAAGGTTCGTCTGCCAGAATCTAGCTGTTCGTCAAGCATGTGACCAATGAATATCCGACACGTGGATTCAATAGGAACATATTTTCTGGTGTAGGGTTTTGTAGTAGCGTATCCAACATAAACAAAGGCATCGTTGTGCTCTTAAATTAATGGAAAGTAATCAAAAAAGATTTGAAAAAAAGTTTGTGGTAGTAAGAGAGGGCTATGTTCTGGTTGTGTCTGACACGTGGCATTTTCCAGGTATGAGATAAGGCTGGACCATATCTTTTTCGGGATTATTGTCTAAAATGCCATTTTTTTTGTAAAAACTTACGAAAATGACATTTTTTGAATAGTTTATGGATTTTGCCATTTTTTAACACTTAAAAATGTACGTATTTATGATTTTTTTTGCAAAAATATGTAATTTATACCAAATACTAAACCCTAAGAACAAATGGAACCGACTAAACCCAAACATAACGAGTGAAACGCATGTTAAATCATATTTTTAGAGTCTGAAAAATGGCAAAATCCACAAACTATTTAAAAAATGGCAAAATCCACAAATGCTATTATAAAAAATGGTAAAATCCACAAATGCCATTATGAAAAATGGCAAAATTCGTAATTAATTCTATCTTTTTCTCTTATCGCGTTAAGTCTTTTCGATCGTGTTTTCTTTTGTTTATTTTGTAACATTTGTCGGCGTATTTTGCAAATTATATCCCTACTTAATAATATCCACTATTCCGAGAGTTGCGTGTTACTTTTTGTTGTTGTGTAGTTACGATGAAAAGTAAGATAATAGATGTTCCATGACTAAGATTGACATAATGAAAGTTGATAATCATTTTATGAATTCTAAGGTTCAATGTTCATATTATTGATTGTGAAAAAGAATATGTACTTTATTTTTAATAGTAAATGATATTTGAACTTTTGACAACTAAAAGCTATGATGTATGAGTAAGAAAATGTTTTGGAAATAAGTAATTTATTTATATCATATCTACATACTTAGTATCCAAAATAAATAAAAGTAGTATAAAGTTAGATGTTAATTAATAAAGTGTAATGAATGTATGTAGATAAATATTTTTATTGTTATAGAACTTGTTGTTCTTATTGATTAATGAATAGGGTTTCGATACATATTTATACATGATGAGGGGAGACAAATCTCCATTGGGCTAGTAAACCCTAAAGTCCAAAAGCCCACTAAGATAAGATAGACCGTCATAAAGAGAATCATCTAGAATATAGACATGGGCCTTCTAGAATATGGATTAGGCCCAACGGTTATGGAGTCCATCCGACCATGCGATCTATAACACTCCCCCTTGGATGACATAACCGTGTAGATGCCAAAAGATCTCAGTAATACGCTCGGGGATGCTGCCTCATTAAAACCTTACCAGGAAAACCCATTGGGATAAAACCATGGTTAAGGAAAAAGAGTACAGCACGTATTACTCCCCCTGTTTTGGTCATCCTTGCAAGTCCTTAAGTCTCCGCATTCCAATTTGATGCGTGAGCTTCCTCAATGTCGATGTTGGTAACGCCTTGGTGAAGAGATCGACTGAGTTGTCGCTGGATCGAACTTGTACCACTCGAACTTCTCCATCCCTTTGCAAGTCATGCGTGAAGAAGAACTTGGTTAGGATGTGCTTCGTCCGATCTCCCTTGATGTAGCCGTCCTTGAGCTGAGCGATACAGGCTATCTTGTCTCCTCATATGATGGTCTTTGATGTTGTAGTAGCTGCGCCTTGAAGAAGGCTGCCTACGTACCCTTGGAAGGGATCAAGCCACACGTAGTTCCTATTTATTGACCATGCCATAATCTGATTTTACCTGCATTAGCAAAACAAACTAAACCAAAGCAAACTAGACCTTCTTTGGTTAGATCAGTATAGAATAAAACCCAAATAAACAAACATAGGAAGAATAGAATTTAAAATTTAACCAAACCTTCCTTCAAACCTTTCTAGTGCCTTTGGGTTGATCATGAACTAAATTTAGACAAAGGAGGTTCACGGCAAAACATATGTCTGGTCTAGTGTGGCTAGCCAAGTACATTAACGCTCCTATGGCACTGAGGTATGGCACTCCAGGATCGAGAACTTCTTCCTCATCCTTCTTTGGACCGAATGGATCACTATCCAATCCGAGGCTTCTCACCACCATTGGGCTGCTCAATGGGTGGGCCTGGTCCATATTGAATCTCTTGAGTACTTTTTCAGTATATGCCTTTTGATGCACAAGGATTCCATTATTCACGTACTCAAGTTGCAACCCCAAACAGAATTTTGTCTTGCCTAGGTCTTTCATCTCGAATTTTTCTTTAGATATTCGACTGTTTGGGCGATTTCCCCAGAGGTTCCAAGGATGTTTAAATCATCCACATATACTGCTATTATCACAAACCCTTTGTTTGCAAATTTCTTTATGAAGATACATGGACTGATGGGATCATTCTTATAACCTTCTCTGACTAGGTACTCGCTTAATCTATTGTACCATATGCGTCCACTTTGTTTCAGTCCATAAAGCGATTTGTTCAGCCTTATGCAGTATTGGTCTCGAGACCCTTTCTTATCTTTATCTTTGAGCTCAATACCCTCTGGTAATCTCATATATATTATCCAGTGGACTTATATAAATATGCAGGCATTACATCCATTAGCCGCAAATCAAGTCTTTTTCTTTATATAGCCAGACTTAGCAAAATTTAAATGTCTTAGCATCCACCACAGGGGAGTATGTTTCTTCATAATCTATCCCCGGTCTTTGTGAGAATCCTTGTGCTACAAGCCGTGCCTTATATCTCACGATTTCATTATTCTCATTTCTCTTCTTCACAAAGACCCATTTGTGTCCTACTGGTTTTTACATCGAATGGTGTCCTTAAGGTCGGACCAAACTCATTCCTTTTCTTAATGATTCTTAGCTCCACGTTTTATGGTCTTGTACCATTTAATCAATTAAGTCTTTGAGTGCACTCTAGTATAGACGTGGGCTCCTGATCCTCATTTATATTCATAAATTCAAGTGCTACCTTGCATGCAAAATCATCTTATGTCGACATTTCTTATATGTTCCATTATGTTCCAGACATGATATAATCGATTTGAGATTTATTATGGTCAGGACCTTTAATACTTTGCAGCTTGGCGTCCCAAGCTACATTATATGGTACCTGTACCTTAGAGCCGGCCGGCCTTATCTCCATGTCTGGGATGGTTTCCTTAGTAACCTCGGATTCCTATTGCACCTTTCTTTGATTTTCGAGGATTTTTATCTTTGGAACCTATTGGTCTACCACGTTTCTTTCGTGTGTTAGACTCGGTAGCAATTTCATTGATTCCCTTTTGGATATCAATACGTACTGGTGCATTACAAGCTGGTATGTACGTTTTTGTAACTTTCTTTGGGTCAACAAAGGAATCTGGCAATTCATTAGCTAGCTTTTGCAAATTTATTATTTTCTGGACCTCTGATTCACATGCCAGAGTCCGAGGATCTTGCCAATTCAAGGATGTTTGATTCCATGATATTTCTTTTATATCTTTACCCAGCTTGTTCGTCTCTCCACCTAAAGTAGGAAATTCGGATTCATTAAAATGACAATCCGCGTATCTAGCCTTATATAGATCACCCGTAGTTGGCTCTAGATACTTAATAATGGTGGGAGAATCAAATCCAACATATATTCCCATCCTCCTTTGAGGTCCCATCTTTGTTCTATGTGGTGGAGCAATCGGTACATATACGGCACACCCGAAAGTCTTTAGATGGGATATGTCTGGCTTATGACCCATGAGTAATTGGGATGGTGAATATTTATGTTCACTAGATGGCCTTATGCGTATAAGCTCTGATGCATGTAAAACAGCGTGTCCCCAAGCGGCTACTGGAAGCTTCGACCTCATGAGTAATGGTCGAACTATCAATTGAATTCGTTTAATGAAGGATTCCGCTAATCCATTCTGTGTATGTACATGTGCTACGGGATGTTCCACACTTACCCCCATGGACATACAGTAGTCATTAAACGCTTGGGACGTGAATTCACCGGCATTGTCTAGACGTATAGTCTTAAGCGGAAAATCTGGAAAGTGGGCTCGCAGTCTTATTATCTGGGCCAATAACCTAGCAAACGCTTGGTTTCTAGTAGATAGGAGACAAACATGCGACCATCTTGTCGATGCGTCAATGAGGACCATAAAGTATCT